CGATTGGTTAGCACTTCTTCGTGGAGTTGCTACTTCCGAATGTGAAAGACCTCAGCGAGCCGAAGATTCATAGGAGTATTGCTACTGGTACGCAAGTTGACCTACGAAAGAGAAAGTCTACACTGAGATAGAGAATTAGGGAAGGGTTTTGGTGAAACGAAAACTTAGATTGCGAGTGCTCTGGTCGCCCTTTGCGTTAATATCCCTCTTCCTCTCAAAATTCGTTACGGAGTTAAAGCGATGTTGCTACAACTGAGCTCTTAAGGCCCAGCGTTAATACTATCCGACTACTACCACACAAATTGAAATAGAAATCTCGCACTTATGTCTGGCGTCGAGCGCTTCGGTCGCTGCACTTTCAAGCGGAAGCTCACTGGGTTCACTGATCACGAATGTAGTGTCGTTTGTATACCCGTTGAGTTCTACTGCGTCACCTTCCAAGTACACTGCAAGCGCGTTGTCATGGGCCCACGTTTCTGATCTACCTAAATCGTAGGAGGACCTAGACACAATCCATCTGACACTAACGTTCCCACTGCACAGCGTGCGCCATCTGCGAGCCATCAGAGTCACTTATATTTGTCGAATGGTCAGTGGCTAAAGGGCTGTTCACGTGACAGACTATTTTCCTTCCTTAAAGGGAGTCATAATTCCAAAACATCTATATACCCTTCCTAAAGACAAGGTAACCTCTTGTGCTGCATGCTTTGGAGTTAATCACTTCTTCAGGCCATCCGAAATGATGATATTTTAACTTATCATGTGCAGTAAACTTCAGAAGTGTATCAAATTGCGCGGCACGCTGCATATGTATCGTCCGCCAAATGAAAAAGCTTATGGTTCTTTGAGAGGTGTTAGCTAGGCAAGGGCCACACATACTTGCTCCTACATGATGTGAACAGTAAACGATCACAGTGAACAATCTTTGTGATTTTTTCACATTTATTCTGTCCGAAACAGGTACTCAACGTGCTGTGACAAGTTGCGTTATCATTCATGTGGAGCAGAGTATCATAGCAAATGGTTCGCAGTTTATCAGCGTGGTAGTCCCAGTTTCCTGAGTTAAATTGATGTAACGCTGCTTCTTTCCCTTTGCCACTGACAACTGTTGTACTGCTTACTTTGCTGCCCTGTGAGACTGACTGTCTGACTGCTGAGTCACGCGCCTAGCCAACCAAAGGAATACAAAAGGCCAGAACTCGGTAGGCAGAGTATATATCTACAGGATAGGTTAACTATTCATTGGTAACCTAAACATGCTAATTTAGGAAGTCAAAGTTACTCGCTCTTCTGCGTCTGGTTTTCAGCCAGTGTGAGTTCCGCTTCGCGTGTTTATCATATTGACGGAATTGTTCCATTCGTTCGACGCGGGCTGGTACTTGCTGGCCGATACGTTTTCATTCGATTCCCAAATTCAGCGGAAATTTCAAAGGTCGTAACACGCCTGTGCTGATGACCTTTGTATGTAGCGGACAGCCTACGTGCTCCGCTTGCGCCTCTGCTTCAAATGAGATCGGCTTTTGGCTCACCGGCCTCTATGTTGATCGACTCAAGTCGAGGATCAGGGTTGCAACGAAGGAGAAAAGTGGAATGTTTTCCAGAACTAAGTAGCCTCTTGGATTCCCCTGTCTTTCTTTGTGAAAGAACATAACGCCCCAGGAAATCTGCACGAACCCTTCTCATTGCTCGTTTGTGCTTATCTATCCGAAGCTACAATTCATTTGAACGGAAGCGACCTCATTCGCGCTACTGCATGGCCACTGAGAAAGGAGTCACAAGAGACTGGACGAGATCAGACAAATTCCGTGTTCTGCTTCTCCTGGTTAGTCGCTGGAAATGGGGTGTCTATTACTGTAAAACCGAATCGTTGCCACTTCCCCGCTGCTTTGCAGACAGACTTTCGAGTCAAAGGTTTTCGTTGAGGACTCTAATCCTTCTTCTGTCTAACTTTGGGGCTGGCCATTGGCTGAAGGGACTAGGCGCCTGTTTTACAACCCGGCGGTGGTGCGTTCGAGCCTGCTTAGGGGACCGGGCGACCCTCACAGTATCCTTAGTCCATGCGCAACTGGCGGTGGTTGAGTGGCAGCCAAACGTCGTTACGGCGTACTGTTGATGCATTTTTTCTTTATTTCCCTGACTTTGGGCGCCGTAGAAGTATCTCAGCCCATGTACAACCATGACTCTTTCATCAAACTTCAACCACATCCCTCATCGGCCGTCGCGCGTATTTAATTGGGCCACCTTTTCTGCTGCATGCAGCAGGCCGGATAAGAGAGAACATGCTACCGCTACTACTACTCCTATTCCACCTTTCTCTCTTACTGGTAGTGAGTACGGATGTGATTCTAACATGGAATTAAGTTCAGTCAAGTAATCCAGTCACAAGTAGACTGGACCTTAATGTAGTTCGACGGTTTGCGTGCCTCCTTGACCCATTAACTCCTATGGCTGGGCCACGTGTTGCGCATGCCAGCCCACCGACTTTCACGACGTGCGTTGTTTGCTCACCGGGGATGTGGATGGAAGAAGAGGAGGGGTGGCCAAGCGACGACTTGGTCGAGAGGAACGAAGTCCCTCACTTCGGAGCTGGCATCGGTTGGAGCTTCACGGCTTTCTGGTTGGGGTCCGAAAGACGACGAACACGTTTGGCTGGATACACTTGCTGACATAGCAAGGAGCCGACCTCAGCGGCGTTCATGCTGTGAGTTTCTTTGTCCCCCCCATCCCTTTAGCCTCCCTCTCCATCTACGATCTTATTTCGCAACGTAAAACACAACACTTTTCCTTCCTGCCTAGTACCTGGCTGGTAGCTTACCGCAACGATGCCTATGCGTGGCTGGTAGCTCAGCTGGCATGCAACTGTTGTATTTATTTTCCTTTCCCTCTATGTATTGCGGCAAAGCAGCTGAGGTGCTTTTGCCACCTCTAGCTGATGTGCATAATGATGATGATCATGACATTGAGCTATACTGGGTGGTGCCTCCGGGCCCCTTGAGAGCTACTCCTACTAGCTTGGTCAATGGTGAGAGGTCAGACAAACTCAGTCTCCTGGTCCTCCAGGTTGGGGGTTTGAAATTTGATGGCGTTCATTTCTGTAAAACTAAATCATTGCCACCCCGCTGCGTTGCGGACAGGCTTTTGAGCCACAGGCTTTGGATGAGGACCTTACTCGTCCTCCTGTCTAGGTCTGGGTACCCTGGCAGTATCTCAGCCCACATACAAGCATGACCTTTTCTTCAAACATAGACTTCATTCTGCATCGGTGACCGCGCAGGTTATCAAGGGTCGCATTATCTGCTGCATACACCACGGCAAGTAAGCGAAAACATGCTACTGCTGGCGCCTTCTTTGTTTCTTTTTCACCTGTTTCTCTTACCAAACCCCCATTACTAACCTTCCTTCTTTTATTCCCAACTTAATTGACAGCAACCGAAGTGCCACTGGAGTATAACCATTTGCAGCCACCTTCCCACAACACTCATCGGACGCCTATCGGCAAGGGTCCCTTATGGCCACGCTGTCCCGTTTCCATGGCGAAGTACAACGTTCGTACTCTGAGACAAACCACTCCACAGGCTGTACTTGCACGCATCTTAAACACACTGATTATTGATGTGTGTAGTGTGTCCGAAACTAAGATCAATGACCTTAATTGTTAGCCCGTCTCGCCTTCCCATCTGAAGTCCACGTGACTCGCCTTGGTCGCCATTTAGCTAGGCAAGCCTTGTTTAGTCTGCCAAATGCAGGGTGGCGCAAGGCTCGAGGTTGACAGAAGTTGACTTGGCAACGGGAAATGAAGTCACTGACGACCACACTGACTGCCGTTAGTACGTCCCGCCTTCCGGGTTGGAGTCCACGTGACTCGCCTTGTGCTTATTTCGAGACTTTACGGGACATGGCTCGCCATCGACACCACTGGCGCGTCTGCTTCCGTCTGCTAGTCGGATTGCTTGTTTAAGGTGTGTTTGGTGCTGAGTTATCTGCGGGGTAATGGCTGATTATGATGCGTGGCAGTGAAAGCCGCAAGGAAGCTGTCTCGCCGATGCCGCCTTATCTTTACACGATGCTCAGCTGTTTTTGACGGTAGGTTGTTATCACGAGGTGTAATCGCCTTGACCCTGAAAGTTTCCTGTTGAATCCCCCTTCTCCCTCTTAGTATTTTTCTTCTGCATGGTTCATCATGGTTTTCTCGCGGTCAGGCATCAGTTATAGTTGCTGATGTATTGTTGTTGTTGCCGCTGCTGCTGTTGTTGTTCTTTAATTTGGTTTGGCTGTACTTGGAATTTTGTTTTAACAGACGCCCTGAAATGGAGGTTCTCAAAAATTGAGATAGCCAGAGGGGTGGTGTTGTCTTTTTCATGCGCACCTTAGGAGAAAGTTGCAATGCCTGCAGATGTGGCTGCATATGTTGTTTACTCATGCTGCGTCGATTATATTGAAATCACGAAGTGGACAAGCATTGAAATGGCATAAGTACCTGATGAAACTCGCCATAAGACCAGTTCTGTTAATGTTTGTCCTGCGCGTGGACCGTTTTCTGTGTCGTGCACATCAGTAATTTTATGGGTGTCGTCGCGGACTCATTGACATTCGTTCCTACATTTCTATTTCTTGGCTCCGTCATCCGGTGATTTGGTTTCCTACCTATTCCTCTCAACTTATTGTTTGATGGCTCTCAGTCAAGGTAACTGGTTCCACTGCAACCCGAAACACGTATCCTAGTTGCTGAAGCGAAATGTTATTTTGGCCACTGGCATTTCATTGTTCTCATGTTCTGTAATTTCCTTTCAGTTGTATTTTTAAGATTGCGTTATTTCTCAAGTGGTCTCGTATAAAGCTTCAACTGATTTTTCGTAGATGTGCTGCGTTTCAATGCCAGACCATCGATGATTTCACGTCCTATCTTCTCTTTAGTCTTCAGACGCTTTAATCCACAGACATTCTCCTTGACCAAGCTGATAAGTCTTTTAACTGAAACTTACTCTTGTGATATTTTTCAGTCTCATAGCGAGGGTGGCGTTTCCTATTGCGAAGAAGTGACACAGCAATTCCCGCACAACGTTGAATTACAATGTGATCTCGCAGAGGCTTATATCAATGCGGAAAAATATGATGACGGTAAATGGTCACTCTTTCTTGTACTTTTTGGCGTGCACTGTGCTCGTTTTATTTTAAAATGTTAAGTTACTAACGATGACCGAACACAGTGATTTCACTGGTTTTTCTCCCGCTTCGCCGCGATAACACTAGTGTATAAATCAGAGCGATGCTGATAAACAAAAGCAAACATCGTCGAAGAGAATTGTCTATCCAGATTGATTAGCTGAGAATCAGAGGCGAACGAAGCTTTATCCAACAGTTCCAGCGTAACAATCAATGTGACTCACTGTTGTTCCTTCACATGCAAACAATAAATATCGACGCGACAGATGTTCTAGCGTTTTCTTACTGCCCTTTTGCTGACTTGTTGGATTACTCCGGAACTTCCTTGGGATTCACGCAGCGCTATGCGGTCGGAACGTATCCGGATTGCGCAACTTGGACGGGGTATGCAGTCTAGACTTGTAAGGCCGCCGTATGTGGTGCCCGTTTGTTGCGCCCCAGTCTGTTGCTCAGTACGCGAACCTGTGCTAGTTTTTCCGCTTTCCTGACCTCTTTGCTTAGTAGTTATCTATTTGTTCTTGTCTAACTCTATCGCCCCACTGGGACTTTGCGTCATTGCGTTCCAAGTCCATCTTTCTGAACCTAAGGCAAGCTTTTTGTTCCAGAACACGAAATTAAATGTCCAGATATATAAGCAGCTTGCTTATTCGGCTGCACTGACACTTCATTCTTATTTTATTCAATGTCTATTCAACGATTCTGGGAACGTATCGTAGTCCTATGCGGAACACTTGATCAGTTGGCTCTGGTAGCTAAATTTCGTACCCGCTATCTCATCGTCACAATGGAGTTTTAAGTTGTTCCCCAATGATAACCATTCTACTTATGGGATTAGAAGCGCACAGGCTTTACAATATTCCTATCCCGGTACGCTTAGCTATCAACATTTCTTGCTCTTGCTCTTGTACTTTATGATGACATATACGAACGTCTTCAATCTTATCATAGTAAAAAAAACTGAACGTGAATGTGTTCGAGGGTTTACATGCCCTTGCTATCCATAGAGCTACACTATGTGGTGCTTCTATGTGTGCAATTATTTGGTGAATGCATCATCATCATCATCATACACGTTAGCTAAAGGTGGGGAGCACCTCAGCTACTGTGCCGCAATTTGGTGAATGCGCCTTGATTCTGATCGTCCCCCAGGTGCACGAGCACGTCTGACGCTCTTGTCGCACTTGTCGTCTTAACTTACAGTCTGGAATTCAACAAAATCACGACGAATTACCCCACCAATAGTTACTGATGAATTAGGTGGATTAGCCGGATGCCGGATGGCATTGGACGAGGTATCATGTGAAATGCTTTTGAAAGCCACTACTTCGCCCAAATTTAACCACCCATGAAGCGTCGATTAGTATGATAGAAATGCACAAGTCATTTCCATCGGTTCTTCAATTTTCACGCATCTGTAATGCCCTGAAATAACTGATTCGCAGTGACCGAGTGCGTTGACAAGTGGCAAGGACCCGTGGAATCGAGTAAGCGAATGCTGTTTCTGAACGACCGAGTACTGCTCTGGCTAATCTGGAGCGTGTATGCAAGCGAATTTTCAGTCATAGAGATAACAACTAAAGGTCAATCCATTCTCGTTCGCGTTGTTTAATCCATTTATGCCGTAGGTTGGAAATCGTGAATGGTGACATGAAATTCATATATGTTAGATATAATAATGTAAAAACAAATCATTTATCGTCCCGCCTTCTTCATTTCCGGAGTCCTCATCAGAAACAGGTGGTGTAGCATTTTCAGGTAGTTGTATGACTATCGCGCTTGCATCTATGTCGTCGTTTTTTCTAGCCTATCGATTATTTTATGCGTCGATAGTGTTCTCAGCATGTTTGGATTTGTTCAAAATATGTTTAACTAAAAAAGGAAAAATACAGTAGTCTCACTAAAGCACGGTAGTGTGAAGCCAATTGTGCAGTAAAAGCAAACATGGCAACGGTATGACGTAATACACTAAGCTTATAGTTGCTTGTGTAGGAATGGATTTGCGAAAAACGCCTCTAAAACACAGGTCAATATTTCACAGCATCGCTACAGGTCTGAATCGGCATCACTGACTAACCATGTGCACGCGGCGATACTATAGAGACTTCCGGGTTAGGTGGGAGTGATAATGCGGACTGCGTTGTCGACCTTGATGAGTAAGCTAAAAGTAACCGACGGATCACTAGGCATAAATGGTTTAAAGCGTCTGGCGAAGCAGTTTAAACGACAGTTCAACGGGTCTGTTGTGGTATTATCCTCTATCAAGCCATTTAATATCATATGGAGTTTCGACGTCACGAACCCTCTTTGGGGGAAATAGCGTGAATCCGCCACGTTGGAACATGAACTTTGGACACCTGAACCCGACAACCTTCCTCCTTAATGGCTGAAAGATGGAGAAGAAAAAAACATCGGCCGTACGCCGGTATGCAATACCGACGCTTCGCTGCCGCGCAACTACCACCGATCGCATGTGGGCTAAGGAAACTGCGACAGTCGCCCGGTCCCATACGTAGGCTCGAACCCGCACTTTCGGACTGCAAGGCGGGCTTCGGATCCTTAAGGCTACGGGCCGGAGTAGACTCATTGACGACTGGTTCCGTCACTTTAATCAACACTAGAGGGGCATCAAAGTGGCATCTTCCTACTGGAGGTTCCAACACTTTATGCGAAATCACCAAGTCATCAGCTTTATTACTCACAAAATTATGAACCTTACTCCCTGCAGTGATTCACTGATCCTTGCATTGGCCTAATTTGTGGAAGATGGACAGGTTTTCACTCTCATCGAAGATGTATTAATCGCGTAAATGCACTACACTTCTACTCACGCCACACAGTGAATGGAACAGCAGCACGCTCACATTGAGTTCACATTGTTGCTTTTCCTCTAGTTGAAGTCGCATATTACTCTTCATTCTATCGGTCCAACCCCAAAGGATGTATCGGATAATTCTTTTCTACCTCAAAATCTATACGCCACTTCGAGAGCTAAGTAGGAGTATGTCAGTATCTGTCTCCAAGACAACAGAAGTGCACCGAGCTTGCTCATTGTCCTAAAGAAAAGTAAAATCCCCCTTTAGAACCAACGATTTTCCAACCAAGACGAATCGAACTCATGATACTTATTAATAATAGTAAAAAATAGTGTGTACGCCATAACTGCGCTTCGCTGCCACGCGACCACCATCAATCGCTTGTGGACTGAATTTACCGCGAGGACCCCCGCCCCTACGCGGATTCGAACCGGTGACTTTATGATTGCAAGCCTGGAATGCAGACCACTCGGCCACCGGCCGATTCCCTTTCAGACCACTCATTTTCGTCACGCAACGCATGCACCTACCTGTCTAGTGTTTTCGACATATGATTTATCTGTTTCATCAATCAGGCATCCCGATTGTAAAGTGCAGATGCACCTCATTTTCTGGGTGGTTGTTCCTTCAACACACTTTTGTGTTAAGGTAACACTTTTCGCGCTCACTGGGGCTAAACCAATCTTCAAGGCCAAAATACCGGTACCGTATGCAACACTGCCAACAGTTGATCGAGAACTCTATCAACTAGAATTTGCCTGTGTCATCACACCTATGAGCTAGTCCTCATTGGCTGCGTCCATTGTGCGACTGAGGTAAGCAAATGCCAAGATACACCTCTGTGCCGATTTCTCAACTGACCTGAACACTATACTTGACAATTGTCAGTATCCATCGCCAATACCGGATGACAACTTCGCAGTATGGAATTGATAAGTGCTTCGCCAAGCTTGACCTGTGAGATGTCTGCATCCAGATGGATTTTGTGAAAGGTTCGAGTGAGCTGCCGATAATTACTAATTATTGTGGGTTACTCGAGTACAGTTGTTTACCTTTAAGTGTGAGAACGACACCGATGGTCTCCCAGCAGTTCGTAGATTACATGATTCCGAGGGTTTTTTTCGCGTCGCTGCATACTAGGCTGACATCATCGTAATGTTCTGAACTGCGGAAGAGCTGTTTAACAGATTGGATGAGATGGTTTGCCGTATCCATTCCAATAGTTTTCGGATCCGTGAAAACAAATACACGTTTTTTACTCCGATTATCAAGTACCTTGGATACGATGTCACTAGCCCAGATTCGGTGGTATGTAAAAAATTGCATCCGTTACCAAACTTTCAATCTTACCGACCCTCTTGTTTTAGACCAGTAGTTACAGTGCATTTTTATCTAAGATACATTGCATGCGTCCCCCACTGAATAGGACACTGAGCAAACGTGACGCTTGGAGCCGGACACAAAAATACTACTGGGTTTTTGGACGAATCAACTCAGTAATGGTCTCAGACCTATTGCTGATCCATAATGTAAAGTGCAAAATTCAAACAAATAATCTTTTGCTTTATTATTATTAATCTTATTATTATTATTATTATTATTATTACGCATCGATACTAAGGCAATTTTGGAGGCGAGAGATAGAGAAACTCACAGCACAAACACCACTGAGGTCGGTTCTTCTCCGTGTCCACGAGTGTAACCATTATCACGAACGCTTGCAATTCTATAGTATCAAATGGTTATGTATGTTATGCTTAAAGCTAAAGTTCAATCATCACAACTGCCGTTCCCGCAGGAAATGTGGAGCAAATTGGTTTAGTCTGCATCGTCCGCTGCTTCACGTTGGCAGCAACGTCACCAAATTGGAGGCCGATCGCTCTACTTTTCACTGCACCATATAGAACCATGGACGGTGTCCTTAGGTGTGCTATCAGTATTAGTTTGTGGCCTTATTGGCATGCTTCAGACACTAGCGTTGATTCAACTTTACCGCGTGAAATCAGGGCGCAGAGGACCGTGGAGACGCTGAACATTCTTACGGTTACTGGTCAATGTCAGCTGGAGTCTCAGCTGACGATTCCGAGGACCCACCTTATGGATAGTTACGAGACAGCCGAACTAATTCTGTTCAGCTCAGTG